AAGTATATACTTCAGTCAAAATGAAGAACCTCTCTCAAATTGCAAGTGAAAAGCACAAAACTTCTCTTAACAATGCCAAGTATCTACATTGATTTTTCACTCTAAGTGGTATTGAACTGTGTATAATTGAGAAAGGATTTCAAACTGACAATCTTGTTAAGAAATTTCTCCAGTCATTTATTGAATTAACAACGAACTTTCAGTCAGCAGTCAACAGCTGACAATCTAGTAAGTTGGATACAACACATAATCACAAAAATTGAAATCAAAGACCAAGTGAAGAGTTACAAATAAAGCAAAATATACTTTTCATTTTAGAAATTAGGGAAAGCTTCTTTGGAATTAGAAGGGACAGAATTGAGATAAACAGGATAAGCGCGATCTGATGGGGAATGCCAAGAGCCATCTAGTTCATTCTGACTCAGCGGGAGCCTCCATCGGGTTTTCTGAGGCTGTAAATTGTGAAAGGAGGAAACTATTTTTCCTCCATCGGAGCTAGTGGATTCCTTGGTCTGGCTTTCAACATCAGGGCTTAGAGAGAAAGATGCGTGGCCAACTCAAAGGCAAAGTGACTGGAATCCACTAATTGCTCCTTGGTACAAAACCGGGCACTTTCCAGTCTGCCTTACTCTGAAAACCCGCTAGAGGGTCAGCAATGAGTCGGTTCTGACTCGATGGTACGTAACAACGACAGTTAGTTTAACATATCTGTGTCCAGCAACATTTAGCGACACATTACCATCCCTTGGGCAATGGAGCATAACTAGGGCATAATGGGTTTTATTCTCACCAGAGAGGCAGTTTCGTTAACAACTCGGGGAGTCAATGGCCCCACACAGTCCATCTGACTTTACTTCTCAGGTCCTGGGCATTAGGGGAACTAGCATCAGGCCCCAGGACCCCGCAGATACCAACACAGGGCCCAGACCGCGCGTCGCGGACACCTCCGAGCGGACGAGGCGGGCCTCGATCTCCAACCAGCTCAAAGGAAACAAAGCGCCCGCCAAGACTGAAGGCAGCCAAGCTCGGCCGAAGCCCAGCTCTCAGTGCGCCGCCCGCCGGTGCCTCAAATCCCAGCCCATCCAGTTCCAGCCGCTGCCCCACATTCCGAGTTCCGAGGAGCCCAGAGACGATGGGAAGTGCAGCCCATCCCGCAGCGCCCCGCTGCAAACCGTGGGAACCCGCCTCCACCTCTGGGTCCGTGGCAGACCCAACGTCAAGTCCATGACCCGCAAGGCTCCAGAACCGCCTCCTGCAGCCGCGGAGAACACGGCTCCCAAGACACACGCCCCTGGCCAAGGCGGCTTTCTGACCGTCTCGCGAGAGAGTTTTTGGACGTACATCCCTCCTCTCAGCGGTTTTTCTCTTTCCGCCCCTAAAGTGATTGCGCGGCTTCCTCTGGAGGGAGGAAACCTTGGACGTGGCGGGGCTGGACTAGCCCGAGGGGTCGGCCAGAGGCGCTTTGCTTTTCCGCCTTTCCTCGCACCCGTGAAGTTCCGGACAGGCCCCGAGCCTTCGCAGGTAACATGTAGCTCCAATGACTCTCAGTCCGGGGCGGCTGCAGGGCCGCCGGCTGGGATGGCCGAGCCCGGGGAGGGGCGCCGCCGCGCGGGGGCGGGGCCTGGGAGATGCGCATGCGCACTGCAGGGCGGAGGGCGGTGGCGCTGGCGACGTTGCGCAGCTGAGTGGGCGGGTTGGGCTCGCTGGCCCCGGGTGGTGTACTCTCCCATCCTCGCTGTGTTTTCTTTCCTCCGCCTCAGGTTAGGGCGGGTGGGGAGAATGGCTTCCGAAATAGAGTCATCTCTAGAGGCAAGCCTGTCCTCCAGCGGCGCAGTGTCGGGGACTTCAGGGTTTCTGCCGCCGGTCCGCTCCCGCATCTTCAAAATCATCGTGATCGGCGACTCCAATGTGGGCAAGACGTGCCTGACCTACCGCTTTTGCGCCGGTCGCTTTCCTGACCGCACCGAGGCCACTATCGGGGTGGACTTCCGAGAACGGGCTGTGGAGATCGATGGAGAGCGTATCAAGGTGAGCAGTTAAGAGGACTGCCAGGGACGCCCCGACATGGCAAGTGTCCCGGCCCCACAGTGGGTTGATCCTTGACCCTGTGCAGGGTGCGCGTCCCATTTTTATCCTCCTGATTTGAAGGTGGATGTTGGGGATTCGCAGGAGAGATTTGTACAGAAAAAAGATAGAAGACAATGTTTCTCAAAGTTAAATGTGCATACTGTTTATCTTGTTTTAAAATAATTCCGTTTTATCCAGCCTTGGGTGATCTGCATCTGTCCAGTGGATACACTTGGAGTAGCAAGAATTTAGGGGGTCTTCACAGACTCATTGGCTGCCTCTTGTGCCTGGGAGTCAGTATAGTCCTATCAAAGGAAAAGCAGTGAGATGTCTCAGATGTGAAAAAGTCCTTTAATATTAGGAATTCACACGATTGAACACGTACCTTAGGTATTGTGGAACTGAAGTCTCTTACCTTTGAGGAAGTTCTTAAGTATGCATGTTTTTGCATATAGTTCCTTTCACCACAGTCGTTAGTTTCTCCTCTTTGAACTTGATTTGATTAGAAGACAACCTGTCTCCTTGCAGAAACATTCTGTTCATGATAGTGCTTAAGTGAGCTGTCAGAAGCGTTCTTGTCTCCATCTCAGACTCATCTTCCAGTTCTTTTTTTCTCTGTGTTTCCCAATGGCTTCATAGACTAGGAACATCAAATGATGGAAAAGAGGGTCAGTGCTCAAAGGTCGTTGCTCCATTTGTAAGGAGTGCATTAGAGAATGAAGATGAGTGACAGTGTTGGAATGATGTAAACTTACAAATTTAGTCATTCCAGGCTACCACTTAGCCTTAGCCACCTGCTAATACAGGGTGAAACAAGACACCCCGAGAAACTTCACTGGCTTCCTCATAACTGCACTTACTTTTTGTTTCAAATTGCAATGTTCATTTTTAGTTGGTGTACTACTCTATTCTTAATGCTCACATCCTTGATGCAAGAGCAGTTTGTTATGTACTTCTTTAAGCCCTTTTCTTCCACCAAGGAGTTTTTAAAAACATAACGTTCAAGGAGAAATCAATCAGTTGCTTTTGAGTCAGATTCCTGTTGGCACTACGTGTATCAGCATAGACCAGGATTTTTTTATTTTTTAATTATTAATTTTAATGAACATTTACAAAGACTGGATTCCATTCATTCATTGTTGCATTTTTCTCCATGCTCACCCCTCCCCCCAAATTGCTCTTCTTTTTGAAAAGTAAAATTCTTTCATTGTTATACAATCCCACCCCCCAATCCACTCCACTGTGCAGCCTTCATTCTGGACTCCTGTCATGATGATAATACCTAATCATACATCCCTTTTAAGCAGTTCTTTCCCTCATCTCTTTCAAAGCAGTAGTATGTTATTTATCCCTGCTTTCTTAGTCTCCCCTCAACCCCGATGTCGTAAACCAGGATTTTTAATGGTTGATTTTTTTTTTAAACAAAGGTAGGTCATCAGGCTTTCCTTCCAAGGCACCCCTTGGGTGGACTCAAACCTCCAATCTTTTAGTTAGCAGCCCAGTATGTTAACCACTTGTACTTCTAGGAAATAACTCCAAAGGAAAAATAAAATCAGCTGGTGGCCTAGTGGGTAAGGAGTAGTTACGCTGCTAACTCAGAGGCATATGATTAAAATCTGCCAGCTTCTCTGTGGGAAAATAGGACCAATCTCCTCCTGTGCAGTTTACAACCTCTGCAGACTGACTGGAGGGTCAGCTATAATTCAGTTCAACTTCACAGTATATAACTTTAAAGGAGCTTTGGTGGCACAGTGGGTTAAGCATTGTTTGCTACGGTGAGGTGTCAAGTTAATATTGTACTTTAGGAAGTTAGGAGTTAATCTCCCCTGCTTTACCTTCATTATTTTAAAATGCTAACTTTTAACATTAGCAGGGCATTTAATCTGAATGTAGACTGCTTTTCTAATTTTATTTCTCATTTAATGTTCTTTAGGTCTTCTATGTCCCTCATAGTGACCCTATGTACAACAGCCCTAAACCCTGCTCTATCCTGTGCCAATTGCACTGCCTCTGACACACCTATCCCGATTACCCCAGTCACTGAATCAATCCGTTTCATAGAGGGCCTTCCCCTCCTCCGTGGTCCCTCCACTCTCCCAAGCATGATGTCCCTCTCCAAGGACCTGTCCCTCCTTACAACATGCCCAAAGTATGTCAGACGAAGCCCCAGAATCCTTGCCTCCAAGGAGCAGCCTGGTTTAACCTTCCCTGGGATGAATCTGTTTGTTTTCTTGGCAGTCCATGATACATTCAATACTCTTCTCCAGCACCACAGCTCAAAGACATCAATTCTCCTTCTATCCTCCGATGCATAACAAGTGATTGCAAAGACCATAGCCTGTATCAGATGCACCTTAGTCTCCAGAGACACACTGTTGCTCTTGAGTACTTTAGAGAGGTCCCTAACAACAGACTTTCCCATCGCAATACGTTTTTTGATTTTCTGGCTGCTGGTGTCAAGAGTATTGACTGAAGCTGTGAACAGTCTCAATCTTTTCACCATCCATCCTGATGCGGCCAATTGGTCCAGTGGTGAGAATCTTTGTCTTCTTGACATTGAGCCTCAGTCCATACTGAAGGCTGCAGTCCTTGACCCTCTGCAGCAAGCGCATGAGGTCCTCCTCAGCTTCAGCAAGCAGGGTTGTGTCATCTGCATAAAGCAGATTGTGAATAGATCTTCCACCAATCCTGACGCCACACTTCTCCTCATAGAGCCCAGCCTCTTGGATAATCTGCTCTGCATACAGGTTGAAAAGGTACAGAGATAGGACACATATCTGGCGTACACCCTTCCCAATTTTGAACCATGCAGTGTTTCCTTGTTCTGTTCTGACGACTGCCTCTTGGTCCAAGTATATGTTTCTCATTAGCATGATTAAATGTTCTGGGATTCCCATTCTTCTCAGAGTCAGCCATAATTTGTTATGATCCTCACAGTCAAACGCCTTTGCATAATCAATGAAACACAGATATACATTCTTCTGGTATTCCCTGCTTTCATCTAAGATCCATCTAACGTTAGCTACAATATCCCTAGTACCACCGACCCCTTCTAAACCCAGCCTGGACTTCTGGCAGTTCTCTGCTGATGTGCTGTTCCAGTCGTTTTTGGATAATCTTCAGTAGAATCTTGCTTGCATGTGAAATCAATGATATTGTTCTGTAGTTTCCACACTCTTTTGGGTCACACTTCTTTGGGATGGGAACAAATATAGATCTCTTCCAGTCAGTTGGCCAAATGGTTGTTCTCCAGATTTCTTGGCACAACTTGGTGAGCACATCCAGGGTAGCATCTATTAGCTGAAATATGTCAGTTGGTATACCATCTATTCCTGGGGCCTTATTTTTTGCTATTTCCTTCAAAGCAGCTTGAACTTCTTCCTTTATCACCATAGGCTCTTGCTTGCTGTGGGTCGCAAGCGACTCGACGGCACATAACAACAACAACAACAACTCCTATGTCCCAACCAACTGTTTGCTGACCCTTAATGTTGCCTTCTTTCTCCACTTTTTGTCTGGTGTATCTCCCTTTTCCATATTTCTCTTTTTAGTGTATCTCTCTCTGCTCAACTTAGTACATCTCTATGAAGAATTTTCTCCTTCTACCTCACTTCCTACTCTACATTTCTTTTAATACTTTGTTTTCAGACTTACAAATACTGTTAGCGCTAATGACTTAGCTGCTAAGAAAGGTGATCTCATTCCCAACAGAGCTTATCCAACAGAAAGTGGAAATTATCAAACAATATCAATAATATCACATGCAAAAAAAATATTGCTGAAGATCATCCAAAAATGGTTAGGAGAGTACATTGACAAAGAACTGTCAGAAGTTCAAGTTGGGTTTAGAAAAGGCCTGGGCACCAGGAATTTCATTGCTGCTGTCAAATGGATCCTGGTTGAAAGCATAGATACCAGAAGAATGTTTATTGTCTAAAAAAATCCAAATGTCTAAAAAGGCATTTAATTGTGTGAATCATAACAAATTATGGCTAACAATGTGAAGAATGATAATCCCAGAACACTTACTTAGGCTCATACAAAACCTATACCTAGACCAAGAGCAGAACAAGGAAACATTGTTTGGTTTAAAATTTAAGAAAAGTTTACATCAGTGTTGTAACTTTTCTCTATACCTGGTCTATCGGTATGCTGACCAAATAATTTGAGAAACTGGACTCTTATCAGGAAGAATCAAGATTGAAGGAAGACACTTATCAACAACATGCATTATACAGATAACACTTTTTTGCTCAAAGACAGGAGGAGGACTTGAAACATTTGTTGCAGAAGATCGAAAACTAAAACCCTCCATATAGATTGCATCTCAATATCAAGAAAACAAAAATCCTCATCACTGGACCAATGTTTTAGTTATGTACCATTTAGTCGTTTGTGACCCTTTGTACAATAGCCCTGAAACCTGCTCTATCTTGAGCCAATTTCATTGTCTTTGACGCACCTACTCCCATCACCCTAGTCACTGAGTCAGTCCATCTCATCCAGGGTCTTTCTCTTTTGTGCTTTCGTCCTGCCCTTCCAAGCATGATGTCCCTCTCTAAAGACTGGTCCTTTGCAACAGAGTATGTCAGATGTAGCTTCAAAATGTCCTAGTTTCACCCTCTCCAGAACAAACCTGTTTGTTCTCTTAGTAAACTATGATATATTCAGTACTCTTCTCTAGCACCATAACTCAAAGGCATCAATTCTTCTTCTGTCATCTTTAGTCATTGTTCAGCTTTCTGATGCACAGCAAGTAATTGTGAAGATGATGGCCTGGAACAGGCACACCTTAGTCTCTAGACTGACACCATTGCTCTGTAGTACTCTGGTGAGGTCCCTGACTGCAGATTTTCTCAGTGCAACTCGTCTTTTGATTTCCTAGCTTCTGGTATTAAGAGCATTGCGTGTGGAGCCAAGCACGCTGAAGCTGTTAACAGTCTCAATCTCTTCTCTGTCTA